TTCCTTCCTTCCTTCCTTCCTTCCTTCCTTCCTTCCTTCCTTCCTTCCTTCCTTCCTTCTCCATAGCCACCTCTTCCGGCTTTTCCACACGAATCCGTATGGCATCCTTACCAAATGTCTAAACCACCTCCTCCCCATTGACACTCTCCAGTTCTACCTGGGGTACCTCAGGTGTTCCCAGGCCAAAGAAAATATATAGTCCCTTCAACGAGTCCTTGAACTGCCCAAAGGTGTCTTCCAAGTGGGACATGCCCAGAAAAGTGAGGCATCCATGAGGCTTCCTAATCAAATTCCTGAACCAGAGGTGCAGTGATAAATTGGTCTGATGATTTATCGGCACCAGTTTCCTTAAATTTGGGAGATTGGTTGATACTTGGATAAGATCAGTGGAAAAGGTCGGCTTCTCATCTATCTCCTTAAAGGTCTGAAAATCAGCCACTGTACTTTTTTTTGTTCTGCTGTTAGTCTACTTAATGTCCAGTTATAGTCTACTTAATGTCCAGTTATAGTCTACTTAATGTCCAGTTAAAACAAGTTTGTATTGTTCAATGTTTTTCAATAAAATAAGACTGGAACATTGAAGGTGTACTGTGACCTTTATAGCATCAGAATTGGCAGGTAAGACTTTAAGATCGTTGATCAGCCAGAAAACTTCAGTCGGTGCACTCCTAGCTTGAACCACCTCTGCTGACTCTTATGATGCAGAGGAGCAGGAGCTTTATTCTGAACTCCCCATGGATGACGGAGCGCCTCACCTGTCTAAATTTCAGCTTATTTTGGCTGTTTGTATCCAGGATCTTGTTCTTTCTATCTTGATCCAAAACTCATGACCACAAGCGAGGGTTGGAACGTAGACAGACCAGTACAATCAAGAGGACAAGACCTTGATCCATCCAATCATCTCCTGCTCTGTCCTACCATTGCTCATGAACAAGACTCTGACCCAGAAGGAGCATTCTACCTATTTACCAAGTGAGAACCACGACCTCAGACTGAGGGAAGCTGACTCTCATCTCAGCCGAGTGTGAATTTTAACCTGAAGCAATATGACGGTGTAATTCTTTAAAAAAGAGAGACTACATATCCAGACCTGTCACTATTGAAAAAGTCTCGTCATTATTGGCTCTGTATTGGATTGCAGTGAGGTGTAATGTGCTGACAACAACATGGGTGTATGAAGCTGACATCTGTTTCCTATTTTTCATTTTAACGTCAACAGATTGTGTTTCTGCATCGATGAGCTGCCCGTACCGACTAACAGCATCGTACAGTTTCTCAGAAAGGCACCTGTCTCCGCCCTCAGACATCTATCGTGATGAACGCTTGCTTTTTACACACAAACACGCTCCAGTGGTTCCTGCTGTCATGAAACAGAAGAATCCTTCATTTGTTCTCCAAAAGGGAAATTTGCACGAAATGCACAGAGGCAAACGAAGAGGCAAACGGGCGCCACCTCAATCAGCCTGACTGTCAGGTCGTCTGGGCGTAAATGATTATTTCAAATGTGCGCTCACACATAAAGAAGTTTTTTTTCTTTTCACCCCTCCTGCTTTACTTTGTTTTGAACTTATATAAACTGAAGCTTCTCCTAACCTGTGCACGCTCAGATTCATAAACTGTGTAAACATCCGTTCAAACGGCGGCGCCTGGAGGGGCGGCCGCTTTTCACAGGAAACGATTCCTCAATGATGCTGCACAAAAAACCCAAAGGTTCAAGTTCAGACAACGGTTACAGTGTAACACACACATACAGACACACACAAATGCACTGTCAGTCCAGAGGCTTCCTGTGTGTGTCAACATGATGCCCCAAAGCGACAGATCTTTTACTTTTGTGTTTAACCTGCATGAAATATCAGAACTGAAAATGATGAGTTTCAGGGATCATCCTGGGGTTTTTTGGCTTTTTTTTTTAGTGCTTATAGCTAAAAGCAACTAAAGTTACAGTAGATATTCGATGTTAAACATCGTTTAACACACTGGGACTTTTAATGCAAAATATAATTTTTTAGCCTTTAATACATTTTGTTGTGTACTTGGAGTTTCTAGGAGGCAGAAAAGTTTAGTTTAGTTTCTCTTGGTGTTGCATAGATATCGTTATATTCTGTTTGGGTCGTATTTTTTATATTTTCTATGACGTTTTCTGAGCTATTGTTTCAAATTATTTGCAACAATTTTATATCAGTTTGATGGATGGTGTTATGGTGTTTGTCACAAAGTCTGTCATGATCAGAGGTCTGTAATGGATCCACGTTGAGCAAATGACGATGATATGATGGTTGTTTTCATTTTGCCTTGATGTAATTGAATCATTAATCATTTAATTGATATTGTATATCGATGTATTGTTACACCCTTATTTCAGTATTAGTCATTTTTTGTTCTGTTTTAATTACTTTTATCCTAAATTTTGAGACGAGTTTTATTAACCTCTTGAGCCCCATGCAAAACAGCTTTTTCTGTTTTCTTTTAACTTCTTTTAACTTTGTTTCATGTAACTGGCGATAAAGTTCTGTTCTGTTCTGCAGCAAAGAGGACTTGGATCATCAGCGCTCAGAGGAAGAGGAGGAGGAAGAAGAACAAGAGGAGGTCACTGAAGATCCAATGCTTGCTTATGAGGTGATGCTTTTAACTGATTTTTCTGCTTCAAACCAAAAAAGTCAACCAGTTCATCTTAAAGTGATTTTAATTAATTTAATTCTGATTCTCCATCCTCCTGTTTTCATCGTTTTTTTAATGTGTTTATTAATAGTTACACGCTTTTAGCATCTTCCTCGTCACTGCAGCCCTCAGGCTAACCTTAGCACACAAAGGCAGGATAACAAGGGTGATTATGGGTAATAATGGGAATGAGTAGTTTGTGTTTCTGCTTAACTTTGATTAGCAACGAAGTCCTGAAATTACCTCCTCTGCTGCTGTCGGGTTCATGACTTCCATCTCATCTCATCTTATGTTCTTTCCCTTCATCCTCATGGACTGCTTTCTCTCTGTTATTTTTTATTAACATGTTTCTTGTGGAAAAGATGATGTAAATCATGTTAATCCATGATTTTTTTTTTAGTTCCAGAACAAATCTGAAAGCTTTCAAAGTGATTCAGTTTGAACATTATGTTCTGGACAAAGTGTTCAAGAGAAAACAGTAAACGTGTTTAATAAACTCCTGTTTTTAAAAAGCTTCATGTCTGCAAAATTAACAGAACAAAAATAAACCCAACAATAAAACACAAAACCTCTGTTCTGTGACAGTCATCCATCCATCCATCCATCCATCCATTTTCTTCCGCCTATCCGGGGTCGGGTCGCGGGGGCAGCAGCTTCAGAAGGGAGGCCCAGACCTCCCTCTCCCCAGCCACTTCTTCCAGCTCCTCCGGGGGAACTCCAAGGCGTTCCCAGGCCAGCCGAGAGACATAGTCCCTCCAGCGTGTCCTGGGTCTTCCTCGGGGCCTCCTCCCGGTGGGACGTGCCCGGAATACCTCACCAGGGAGGCGTCCAGGAGGCATCCTTACCAGATGCCCAAGCCACCTCAACTGGCTCCTCTCGACGTGGAGGAGCAGCGGCTCTACTCTGAGTCCCTCCCGGATGACCGAGCTTCTCACCCTACCTCTAAGGGAGAGCCCAGCCACCCTGCGGAGGAAACCCATTTCGGCCGCTTGTATCCGGGACCTCGTTCTTTCGGTCATGACCCAAAGCTCATGACCATAGATGAGGGTAGGAACGTAGATCGACCGGTAAATCGAGAGCTTCGCTTTCTGACTCAGCTCTCTCTTCACCACGACGGACCGGTACAGCTCCCGCTTTACAGCAGACGCTGCGCCAATCCGCCTGTCGATCTCCCGCTCCGTTCTTCCCCCATTCGTGAACAAGATCCCCAGATACTTAAACTCCTCCACTTGAGACAGGGCGACCCCCCTGACCCGGAGAAGGCACTCTGCCCTTTTCCGGCTCAAGACCATGGCCTCGGATTTGGAGGCACTGAGCTTCATCCCGGCCGCTTCGCACTCGGCCGCAAACCGCTCCAGCGAGAGCTGCAGATCTCGTTCCGATGAAGCCAACAGGACCACATCATCCGCAAAAAGCAGAGATGCGATCCTAAGGCCACCAAAACGGATCCCCTCAACACCTCGGCTGCGCCTAGAAATTCTGTCCATGAAAGTAATGAACAGAATCTGTGACAAAGGGCAGCCTTGGCGGAGTCCAACTCTCACCGGAAACGAGCCCGACTTAATGCCGGCAATGCGAACCAGACTCTGACACCGGTCGTACAAGGACCTGACAGCCCGTATCAAGTGGCCCGGTACCCCATACTCCCGGAGAACCCCCCACAAGGCCCCCCTTGGGACACGGTCGAACGCCTTCTCCAAATCCACAAAACACATGTAGACAGGTTGGGCGAACTCCCATGCACCCTCCAGGACCCTGCTGAGGGTGTAGAGCTGGTCCAGTGTTCCACGACCAGGACGAAAACCACACTGCTCTTCCTGAATCCGAGGTTCGACTATCGACGGACCCTCCTCTCCAGGACCCCTGAATAGACCTTACCAGTGACAGTCTGTGACAGTCAGTGGTTTCCAAACTATCTCTGCCAGGCCCCACTTTAGTTTATCAGAAAATATTGGTGCCCTCACAAACTCCCTGTCCCACATCTCCACCCAGTCACACAGATAATTTAACCTTTTTGTTTTTGAAAAAATAAATTAATGATAGTAAACTGAAATAAATGACAGGTTGCAATAAAGACAAATAGAACTTCTTTTAAATAACTAAACAACAAACCACTTTTTTAGTGTCAGTTTACCTGTTTTTACTGACAATATTCACCATCTATCAGTAACTGTTGATCAAATATGACACCTTTATTATTTAACCCTCAGTCTTTGTGTTTATGTTGGAGCCCCAGTGTCCAAGTATTTATTTATTATTACTTTTAATTTAGTCATACCTCCCCCCCAGCAATGGCACTGCCCCCCCCCCCCCACTCCCCAAATTTGGGAACAATTGCTCAATTTTAGGGATTTAATGTTTCACAGTGGTGTCAAACCTGGACCAAGTTGTGACCAAGACCAGAAAAAAAGAAAACCAGTTCTGTAAAAGATGGAGTCTTCTGGACACATGTAGCTAACTTAATATGTAGAGCTAATTTTGACAATCATCACCGAGAAAATAATTTTGCCACAGAGGCAGATAGCGAATGTTTGCTTTCTTCTGGATATTGTTTTACAAACATATTCTTTATGATTTTAGTAGCCAAACTGTATTATTGGAGATTTTGCAGACATCTTCTCCCGCTCCCAGAGAACTACTGCTCACTTTTTTTGGCATGCTGTGTGCAAGTGAACAGGGGTGGGGATGGGTGGCTAACAAAAATACATAAATAGCAAAGAGTCAGTTTTGTATTTGAATCAGTATGTTTTATATTGAATGAAAAACAAGTAAATTCAAAAACATTCAAGCTATTTAGTGATATTTCCAGAGTTGTGGTCTTGAAATAAAATCCCGAGTTCAATGTCGGAGACAGAGACAAGACCAAGACCATCACAAAGTGGTCTTGAGACTGGTCTTAAAATCAAGACCAATCTCAGGTATGACAACACTATATACTAGAGTTTGAAAATACTTATTTAGAAGCTGCAGAGGTGTGTGAAGTACTTGTTGAAAATAACCAAAATGTCTGGTAAAAATGAATTTCACTGATAGGAAAAGTATTTAAAAATCATAAAACTGCTCACAATAATTGGGAAAGTAGAAGTAAAAGCTCAAGTGGGTGTATAAAAAATACTGGTTTTAAAGTTACTTTAAGTATAAAAGTAAAAGTAATGTATAGTAAAGTCATTATTTTTCATTTTTTCATTTCCATTTCTTTTTTATTCCATTCACTCAATAATAAATATAAATAGTTCACATTAACAGCTAACAAACAATCATGAATGAAATGGAGCAGAAAGAAGCAGAAACTATATCTGCCCCCTCAACTCACAAGACTATTACAGACATATTTCAAATACACAATAAATACACAAAGAATACACCAAGAATGCATACTGGTAAAACATGAATGAATGATACTTTATTGATGCCATGAAGTGAAATTACAGAACATCAAAGCATCAGCTTCTTCAGTACCATATAACCTCATCGTGATTATTTGAAATTTATTTTATGCACATTATGCAGAAAGTATTTTAAGTAACAAACTACATTTCTTAGGTTTGTTACTTGACACCTCTGATGTTTTAATCCACCTCAAACTAACCGATCATTTGAAGCCGTTACAGGAGCTACCTGCTACAAGATGTTAGGCTTTCATGATGTTTCCACAGAACTTTAGAGAAAAGAAACTAGAACAAGACGTAATATTTCAGGTTAAGTTAAAGTTTTATTTGTATCTAGTTGGTTGGTTTGTCCTGCTTCACACAGCAGCTTCTTCAGATTTAGATTTCTCCTGCAGCCCGAGACGACCCCTGAAGAGGAGAGGACACCGGAGAGACCGGGGATCCTGAAGCGACTGGCCAGGTTGGTGTAACACACACACACACACACACACACACACACACTGGCCCCTTCTCCCCACAGCGGGGTAACTCTCAGACCCAGCAGGACATCGGTGATGTCATTGTGTGATTGACTTTGAGGCCCCAGAGCAGAAACCAGAGCTGATTTGTAGTGTCGATGTGGAAGAAAGAAGCTGTCAGAGATTACAAAGTGTTGGGGAAATCCACCCATTATACAGACAGATTAACAAGCCTGAGACAAGTCTGCTGTGACAGGTGCCAAACCTTCTCAGGCAGATTCCACTTTGTTGTTCAAAAACCGATGGAGTTCAGCCTCAGCAGCCGCACTGCAGACGTATTCACATGTTTCATTTCTACACTAAAACAGGCTTTTTGTGCCTTTTCTCTCTCCGCAGAAACCTGTTCCCGTTCGTTTTCAAGCCCTGACAGTCGTCAGTGAGGTGAAACGTTAATCTTTGTTTCCTTTTTAGGAAAAGTGTTTCTGTTTTAAAATGAGAAAAAAAAACTTCTTAGTTAAAGTCAGGTTCATGATGACTGATGTATAATTAAAAAAAGAGAAAAAAATCCAGTTTAAAGTTGCAAAATAAAACTTTATCGACAAAGAACTTTATCACAAAGTGTACAGTGCATTATTTTATTATTAATTTAACTGACAAGCCCAACAATCTTACAGAAATAAGTTTTTAACAAAATGTTTCTCAGTTCAGATTCATAATAAATACATTTTTGTACATTCTTTGGTCTTCTGTTTGTGAATAGTGGTTATTTGTAAAGGCTGAAATATCCTGAATCATGATTTTATTTAAAATTGTGGACATTTGGGATATTTTTCTACAACAAAATGACTAAAATGTAATAATATATTTCTGTACAGCTCAGAATCACTTTAAGAAAAATGACTTGTGCTTTAGTCTGTAATAAAGCATCAGTGTTTGCAGTGTGACAGGTGGTATTTACAGATAAACTTAAAAGCTACATAAGAACAAACTCACATTTTTCATTCAGGAAAAACAAAAGGTTAGAAATTTATTAAAATAAAGGTTTTTAACATAGTTTTAGAATCTCAGCTCATTTAAGCAAAAAGCTTTAGAAATTTTATTCATCTTTGGTTTTATTTTGAAACATTAGTGGTGCACCAAACGTTTGCCAACAGCTGCATGTAGGGCAAGCAATTGTGTCATATAATATAATCAGCACTTTGAAAAGAACTGTGGAAAATAATTAGCTTAATATCCCTGATATCAGGTGTTGTTAAGAAGTGTTATTATTTTTTATTTATTTATTTTGTATTTTTATTAGGAGATCTTCAACTCAATGCTTTTTTATTTTACATCAAGTTCAGGTCAGTTTGAGGTCAAATTTGTTTTAGTATTTTAGTATTTATTGGGAGAAAACTTAGGAATTTATTAAACTTTTTGCTTGATTCATGGCTTGGTAGTAGGGGTCTCTGCAGTACATACTGTTCTGTGGATGGAGTTTGCCCTAATTGGTGGAGTTGATGTGTGGGCGGAGTTTGTCCTGACTGTGATTGAAGGAGTTGGCGTGTGGGCGGAGTTTGTCCTAACCTTGATTAAAGTAGTTGGCGTGTGGGCGGAGTTTGTCCTAACCATGATTGACGGAGTTGGTGTGTGGGCGGAGTTTGTCTTAACCGTGATTGAAGGAGTTGGCGTGTGGGTGGAGTTTGTCTTAACCGTGATTGACTGAGTTGGTGTGTGGGCGGAGTTTGTCCTAATTGTGATAGATGGATTTGGTGTGTGGGCAGAGTTTGTCCTAACTGTGATTGACGGAGTTGGTGTGTGGGCGGAGTTTGTCCTAACCGTGATTGACGAGTTGGTGTGTGGGCGGAGTTTGTCCTAATTGTGATAGACGGATTTGGTGTGTGGGCGGAGTTTGTCCTAATNTTGGTGTGTGGGCGGAGTTTGTCCTAATTGTGATAGACGGATTTGGTGTGTGGGCGGAGTTTGTCCTAATCGTGATTGACGGGGTTGGTGTGGGCGGAGTTTGTCCTAATTGTGATAGATGGATTTGGTGTGTGGGCGGACTTTTCTTGTGGGGAAACTTTTAAGACGAAGTTATGATAATAGTAAAATAATATGATTTATTGACTGTATTTGTACAGTTTAAAACAGAATAATGGCTCAAATAAATTTTTTTATGAACTTATAAATATAATTTATAACTTCAAATTTTGTGTCACAAGCACCTTCCTGTCTCAAGTTATGACTAAAATTAATATCTAGAAATATAGGCGCTTCCTGGTCAATTCAATCAAGCTACTTCCTGCTGCCCCCCACCTTCCTTAAACCCAGCCGTCATTCCAACCAATCACGTCTTGGGTAATCTACCCCCACAAAAGTCAAACAGACCAATCAGGTGGGCCAACTCCTCCCACAAAGGAACTCCTACTTGACTGCAGAGACCCCCTTCTCAATAAAACAAATAAAATACAACTTTTTTTTAGTCCTTAGATCTTCCAAACTCACAAGGATGCTTTTTGTTTCTCTTCCCTGTTCTACTGAACCATGGCCCTCATATCCACTGAAACCTGACTTATAAACATGTTTTTCTTTCAGTTGCTCCCTTCTTAAAGATTTGGCAACTTTTACGCTGGATGACCGTCCCGATGCAAACTGGGTTTGAACTTTAGCCTCAGGATCACAAAACCGCAGCCCCTCAAATATTTCTATACAGATTAATAAATTTAACCTTTATGAGAGAAATTAGAATCGCAGGTCTGTTATTAGGGATGAGATAAAGTCCGTTTGTTTTGTCTTATAAACTAACAGGTGATTATTCCGTCATCAGTAGCGGGATTTGCGGCACATGTCGCAGCGACACGCCTTCGCCGTCAGGATCTCGATTTCATCGTGGTGACGACCTCGAGGGCAGTCCAGGCGAACTTTGACCTGAAGCAAACAGATGACCCACAGGAGGTGAACAGAATGTCTGACGCCACGGAGGAGGCTGTTTCCCTCCTGCCGTTCCTCTCACCTTGGCGTCCTTGCTGATGGTGCAGCACCGCGACGCGGAGGTGATGTTGTGCGTGAAGTTGGACGCCACCAGGACCGAGTACCTGGACGGGAAGGCGCTGGACTCGCAGTAACCCACGCAGGCGTAGACCTGGTGCATGCCTTTGCAGGTGCCTCGGCGGTCGCTGCGGATCGTCACGTTGAAGGCTGCGAGGCGAGAGGAAGTGGTTCAGTTATTTTCACAAACATCCAGGTTTACGGCTTCAGTCAAACATGACATCAGGTTTTTTTAACAGGTTGTTATGACTGCTGTGGTGTGTTTGTGTAAATTAGTGTCCAGGTGACCCAGCTGTGATGAGATCGCATGGCATGAAGATGAGCTGCAGAATTGATGACATCATTGTCCCAACTAGCCTCACCTGACCTGCTGTGTCATGATATCCAACCAGTTATTTTGAACATATTTTTTGAGGTGGGTTGACTTTTATTTCAGGACCATCATGTCTGAAACTCTGAAGTACCTCTGAAACTTTGTCTAAACAGGAAATGTCACGTTCCTCGTCTCATTGCTACAGTTGAGCACCACTAACAAACAATAACTCAACTCTATGTGGTAGGGGGGCGTTCCAGGTTAAATCTACAGATTGTAAGTGGGAAATTCCCACTTCCCAGTACAAATGGGTTGCAGCGAACCTAGCTGGCAAAAATGCAGCTAAATGTAGATTTTACATGGCAAATTTCGATGGCTGTTTTTTGAACCCTGATTAGCTCCACCTGGCGGTGGTAAGCTGTCATTACGTGGGTAAAATAACTGCCATGCATTATGGGAGATGTAGTTTGTGGCCGAGCCTAGCTTTAAAGCAGCATTTTCTTGTTTGAAGACAGTAATACAGCTTTGAAGCTCTTGCGGGCCACATTAAATGCTGTGGTGGGCCACATTTGGCCTGTGGACCTTATGTTTGACACATGCACTAGAGCAGGGGTGCCCAAACCAAAATGAAAACCTATCAGATGGCTGTGGGCTAAATACAATAAAATAAGACATGAAATGCAAATACTTTTTAAGTAAAATCCTTTTACTTTTTGTGATTAAGACAGTTGCCAGTGCAGTGGCCCATGTTTTGTTAGTTTTGTTTATTTTTTTATTTTTTGCTCCATGCACTTGGAGAAAAATTGACGTATGGTTGGGCAGCAAAGGTTCATGGGATATTTCATTAATTGATAAAATATAAATGTGTGTGTGCAAATAAATAAGTGTGCTTAAATCTAATCTAACAACAGGTGAGTAATCAAGGCCAAATCAAACAGCTCGGAGGGTCAATTTTGGCCCGTGGGCCCGACTTTGGGCACCTCTTCACTAGAGAGATTATATATCCTCACACGATGGTTGTAGTTTAATGAACTTGTTTACTAGCTGTAGGTTTATTTGTTTGTTTATTCTGTTCTTTCTGCTTCCTTTTATTCAAACTCTGATCAAACTTACGATACAGGTGACATCCTGGCGTCAGGTCGTCGAAGCTCCAGCTGAGAGGAGAGACGAGCAGCAGCAGCGAGGTCAGCAGGCAGATGTGTGAGATTGTGTTCGGCAACATCTGGATGGATCAAATAGAAAGGTGAGGTTCTGCTGGAGCAAAACAAAACATAACAACAAAACATCCAAAAACTTTTGTTTTATTGTAAAAAGACTTTTATTTTGGTAAAAATGTCAGGGTCTTAAAATGCTACTATTTGTTGTCCAGGCTGAGAAGAATGCATGATTTTCTTCTCTGCTCAAGTTTTCCTCTCATATTAACCCCCACCCCCCATCTCACACACACACACATACATTCTCACACACATACACACACACACACACACACACACACACACACACACACACACACACACACGCACACACACACACACACTTTGCTGCGAACATGACAGCACATACCTTCCACACCTTTATGGTATTTAAAGGGCCAGTCCAGATCCTCTAACGTGGGGTTCTGTGGAACTGGTCATGTTTGGAGAATCAGGGTTTAATTCTGACTTGACTCATGAGCCAACAGCTGAACGGAGCAGGACCGAGACCAAAGTGGGTCGCTGACTTCTAGATTTGTGTTAAATATTATGTATTTCTGCAGGAAGTGATCCAGGCTGCACAGGAAATGCTACAGCTAGCTGCTATCAGCAACGAATAACTACACTTTTATTACTTAATTTTTAATTATATTTTATGGTATAATTTATATATTTATACTTATAATTATGATTAGTTTGATGCTACTTAATAATTTGTATATTTTAAAATGTTCTAAATAAACAGTTGATTTAATGATTCACTAAATAAAAGCTCAAACAAAAACTTTAAATCTCACAAATGGATCATGAGTTTATAGATTTCCTAATTTCTAAACATTTTAAATAAAAAAATCTAATATCTAAACAGACTAATGGATTTTTTAATTAACAGTTAATTATATAAAAAAGTTAAACGGGATCTTTAACTCTTGTGTAATTTTTTAAATAGGCCATTAAAATAATCCATTTCACTCAAGGACTTTAAATGACCTGCAGTTTCTTTGTCACGTCTTCTCACAAA